AACCTTGTCTGTTTTATTAAGAAAATCCCAAGGCTTCTGTGGGCATTTGTGCAACAAGACAAGTAAAGAAATGTTAATAGGAATGTGTTTCTACCTCAGTGCAACATTAATTTCAGCACCACATTCCAAGGGCTTCTGTTTTTGCAATTTCTCAACATTTTCTCAAGGAAATGCACCAAAATCCTGCAGTCCAAACGGAGAGTGAAAAATCTTCTGTGTCCAAAGATCTTGTACAAACCTTATCTTACCTTTTATTTACCATGTGTGCTACTGCAAGCCAATATGAACCATAACTCCATTTAGATAATAATAATCAAATTATCCAAACCTGGGAGAACATCTTTTATAGATTTTGGTCTAAATTTAATACAAAAATGCAGTAGTCCTTGTTTGGAAGAGTTTATTAAGGGTTAGCAAAGAAAAAGCTTTTTCAATAGTCTATAACTCTCTAATGGCCTTTTTCAAATAAAATGGGAAAGAATTTGAAAAGAAACCTATATCAGTGAGCTGCAATTGTAACATTACAGTACAGGTCTATAAATCTTGACATGTTCAGAAGATTGCCTAAACCAGCAATACAATCTGTCCAAACCTCATTGTCTCCACGACCAGCCAGACTCATTTCAAGAAATGTATGTGGTCTTCAACCTAATTTTATCACCTTCATTTGTAAACTAGTCAATCAATCAAAGCATCCTGTGAGTCTAAATAGAAAAAGGAGTGCATTTTCATGCATTTCCAGACAGCACAGTCAAAAATTAATCTCCGCTTGATCAGACATTCCTTGCCCTCATCTCAATAGACCATCATTAGGGTCAGCAATGTATATTAAAAATAGAGTTGCAGCGAACTGTTCGCCAGGGATTCTCTGCTAGCTACCTGCTGGCAGATCAGGGAGCTCAGGGCTCCCTCAGAGCCTGCAGAAGACTGGGTTCAGCCAAGAAAGTGCAGCTAAAAATGAAGTTAAATAGAGGGAAAGAAAAAATGTCAAGAAATTCAGATCTCTGCCAGCCTTTTCTTGCACCCTCAGCACAGGGGTAACAGCTTGCTAAAATGTAAAGTAGGGGCCCAGATGAGATCTCATCTTGTGATCTTTTTCCTACTTGCACTGTGCGTCTATAGACACTGTTATCATTATACACCTCCTTCCTTATGTATATATTTACTATGTGTGAGATGGGATGGATGCTGGGCAGGTTTATGTCGGGGAGATGGGCAGTGAGTATGCACTGTGCCCCAAAGCTGTAATTCCTGCAGAGTTTATGGCCTTTGTTATGGGACACCTTTTGTGTACAGCTATCCTATGGCACAGGAAAGGATTTGGGGGCTGATCCCTCTCCCCCAGGGCTGCTTTTCTCACCTTGGGCAATTTTGGTCTATTGCTCTAGAAAAAAATGTCTCAAGTGAGAATGGCAGCAGTGGAGAAAGTGTTGATGTGGCAGGGATGGCAGCGCGAATCAGAAGCATGAATTCTTCATTGGGGTGAGGATTCTCTATGTAAGAAGCACAATGCACACACAGACTTTGCTCCTCTTATCCCAGACGTGGGGAGATTCAGTGGCAAACACCAGAGCCTTAACTTTGTTCTGGATGAAATTTGGCTGATTAAACCTGCCTTAGAAGGTTGCTGCGAGATGCCCACGTATTCATGCTGCTGAGTTCCTCCAGCTGTCTCCCTATTACACACACAGTGCTTTTGGCTACAGCAGGGGTGGTTTGCATCTTTTGCATCCATAAAAGAAAATCCATGTAACAATTTCAGATGATTGACACAGTCCTGGCACAGGAGATTGCCCAAGGAGGATCATTTCCACCACTGCAGCACTCTTTGCAGAAGGGATGCAGCTGAGATACGTCCTGTCCGCCATCCATCAGTAACTCAGACAAAGAGAGGTTGCAGAAATGTTGTTTTAAAACAGCACGTATTTCTCAACTTTCTTGAAAAATACAACGGGATTTTGGGGGATCTACAACATCCTTCTCTACTCAGGCTCTCAAGGAGAAAGAAGTTGATGTGGCTCTGTCCCAGTTTGCAAAACCTTACAAGTGACTTGGGGTCACTTCTCCCAGAGATGTTTATTCTTTACTCCAGCTGATGTAGAGGATGTTAGGCACTGGGGATCCGGTCCCTGAGCTTCTGCCGGGTGCCTCCCGGTGCACTGACAACTGCTGGAGTGCGTGGTGGGTTCAGTGGGTGTTTTAGATTGATGATGATGTGATTCTCAGCCATCTGCTTCTCATTTTCTGGTGCAGGTGACAACCTTCATGGAATGGGAAGAAGTAAGGAAATACACCATGCAGAACCCAATAATCCTCACTTACAACCCCAAAGAGGGTTTATGAAAAAAAAGAGTTCCTGAGGTGGAAAACCGCAAGGGAAGACCTCCCAAAAGCTTGGGACTTCAGGTGAAAGGGACCCAACAATTTTCAGGCTGCGTAGTCCATATACCCTGACCACCAAGCTTTGCATGAACGAAATGCTTTTGCTCTTACATTTCTGGGTTGAGTAGCTATTGAATTTCTGGGAAAAAGCAGAAACTTTAGAGCTGATTCCTCCTCCTTTCAGGTCCTTTTTTCCACAAGGGGTCATAGTGGAGCAAAGCAAGGATGACTTCCAAAACAAGTGATTTTATCCTATCTGAAAGTGTGGTTGCCATTTCAGTGTTATTATTCTAACTGGAATTGATAAGGGTTTCAATTTTTATTTTTAAATACCATAATGCCGTATTAATTATTATTTCTTTGGTGTTTCTGTCAACTATGTTAAGAATGAGCAATGCTTTAGTGTAACTGCATTTCTTTTAACAGAATACTGTCATAAAGAGTGGGGGGTAAAATACCTCTGTGAATAAATGAAGTGCTTAAAAATAGGTGTGGAACTGTGTGGCAATTAGGATAAAAAGAGGAGACTTCTGAACTGGAAATTAAATACAGCCATACAACCTCTAAAAAGAACATCAGAAACAACTGTCAGTCATCGAACTACTGCTGACTCCCAGACAACTCAATGATCCTTCTTCTTTTTCTACTCCATTCTTTCTTTTTTAGAAGATAAAGCCTGTTCTATAATTTAGGCAAATTGCATGATAAATACAAATAATTGAGCGTATTAAGCTTAAAAATAAAAACATTTTATCGTATGTAACTTCAAAAGTAATCATATAATGAATGGGTGAAAAACAGAGAGAAAGATTGCCAGAGATTAAGATTAAGCCCTGCAGAAGAGAATGTTCTAACTAGAAATTGGTTTAATTAATAGCACATTTTACATAATGATTACAGTGTAATTGCGCTGACTAGCAGAGTGTCATTAAATATATCCATGCTCCTTTACAACACCCTAAGGCTAAAAATAATGAGTTACATTGAAAATCACTATGCAACAGGTTCATAAATAACATTTAAGCCTATACAAGGCGAATACTTATAAATAATAAATATTTGCCTTTTGTAATTGAAGAAAAAATGACAGCCTTCTTTTTCTACTACCCTGTAGATTGTCATGTTATAATGCTGAAAAGATTTTTTTCCCCTTGCGTTCTCTAGAAAGTGCTGAATAATTTATTCGAATGCTAATATTCCACATAGTCTGACTTTGAGGAACAAATATTCCTACATAAAGAATAAATGCCAAGTTGCTTATTACCAGCTCCGTTTTACTTTCCATTGTGCAGTCCCCAAAAAACTATCACAGCCTATTACACGTGTCAAATGAAGTTAGCGGCCAGGTTTTCTTCCAGACTAGTTACATTCTTTTTTAGTTAAAAATTACCCCTTCTCCCCAAATGTTCATCATGCTCAGAGCTGTTATGCAGCAACAGCTGCTCCTCAGCTCCAAAAAGGACGACATCATAAACCTGATCACTTTTTAATCTGTAGGTTTTCTCTGGTGGATCGGGAGTATCTAATAAAAACGGGTTTGATTTCGTATGAGCAGCGTGCTGACATTTGAAAGACCCCCAAATGGTTTGTGTTTAGCTGGCTTACCAAATCCAGCAGCCTCTCCGGTGTCAAAATAAAGCAGCGTGCAGAAAGGTCAGCTCAGGAGATGGAACTGCTGTGCCGTGCTGCAGCTTTCTGGTGGGTTCGAGCTTCTGCCAGGGCCCAAGCCACGTCAACACGGTGCATTGGTGTCATCAGAAGGTGGCACTGGTTGGGTGTCCTCTTCTTCAGTGACAGAGATGGGCAGTAGCTTGGGAAATACAAAGAAATGCAACACTGCTTGAATATTTGCCTTTGGGGCTGGAGATCTCGTGCTCTGCCTGTGATCTTCTGACCTGTGTGGAAATCTTGGACTTGGTGAATCAATGTGAGCACTAAAAACGTCACCTGTGTGAAACGCAGGGGCTCCACACGAGTCCTGAGATGAGAAGCACAAGTCATGGGGCGCGCACAGCACTGTGAGCACTGCGATGTTCAAATGCAAACTTGTGTTGCCTGAGCACCAGCAATAAGAGAAAGTGGTAGGGGGAGAGAACACTGCTTGTTGTTGAGAGAACACTGCTTGTTGTTGAGAGAACACTGCTTGTTGTTGATAAACATTCTCAAGATGAGGGCAGGAGGAAATGTTTGCTAACACGTGGGAAGGACTCTGCTTGGGAGAGATACAAAACTCAACTGCTCCTGTCCATTTCTGCGTGCTTTTCTCTATCAACAAAGAGAGCAGAAAGTAAAATTTTCTTGTCCCATTCAGACTACTTTTTCCCTTTGTTTGAAGCAGGACTGATGCCCCTCCTTTCTGTTCACAGCAAGAGGAACTGCTTTTTGCCACTGTCCTAAACAGTGCACAGTGAAAGATGAAACCCTCTGAGTATTTTGAGAGTTTGGTGAAGAAAACCAAGCATTTCTTGTAATGGAGGTTGCCCAGTGGCAGGGCAGACAGCTAGGGAGCATATCCTGGTTTTCTGTCTCACTCCAAAGAGGAAACCATGTTTGCATCATTGCTGCCCTCCCTGCAAAATCACTAAAATCTTTTCTTCATTTCTAATCATTTTTTACAGCTTAGGGAACCCCACTGGGATCTCCAGAAAGCACAGGCAAAGGCAGGAATGGGCTACCAATGGGAATCTGGACTAAGGTGGCTGGAGAGCAACTATTCCTTACATATCACATCAGAAATGCCTTTGTCAACATTAATCAACCCTGCTGACAGCTTTGGGAGGTAAGAAGTGCTGCATATTTCCCATTTTATCATTAGGGAGCTGACAAAAAGTTAGCTTAGATGACTGGTATTGCATCATACCATCATACTCAAGCCAAAAGCAGAGGGAAAAAAGAATCTGGACCTTCTTAGTCCTTCATGTTTGCTTGATTTTCTACCATAAATGGAAACCTTGGTAAATCCAGTCACTGCACCTGAGAATCTGCTGTGACCAAGGATCTCAGGTGTAGCAAAATACTTTTTGTAGAACTGGATATTTTGTCCCTTACTTTGCTCTTTTAATAGCTTAATTAATTTAGCCTCACAGTTTTGAAGATCATACCTGACGTAGGAAACATAATGCAGTCGTTTGTTTGGATCCTGATCCAAAGAGAGCTGGTATCTTAAGTCCTACAGAGGCAACTCTTTATAGAAAAAAACAGGGATTCTTTTTGCCTCACTTAAGGGAGGAAAATGACAGATGATTTAAAATGCTTAAACCTTCTTTGCTGCTTTGTACTACAAAAGCACAAAAGGGCAGAATTCAATCCAGAAGGAAAGGTTAAGAAAGATTAAGAAAGAATGCCTTCCCCTGTTTATTCACTTCTGCTGGGCAATAATATAATTTTCAGTCTCACGTCTCTATTTCAGACCACATATGGCAGTAATATTGGATCTTCACCATCGCAGCTTAACCATGACTAAACAGGTTGATGAATGTCATGCATCTTATCATCATACATGCATATTTTTAAATATAATTCACTTTTGATCTGCACCCTTGTGCAGTGGTGAATGAAAACAGTTAAGATTTCTTCCACTGTCTGCCTTTAAATGTATTAAACAGCCCTGCTGTCAATAGATTATATTCTTGTACAATGATAATAGCCCAAAAAACTAAGAGGCCTTGTCAGGAATTGCAGTTGTCACAGTTTGATGCAAATGATTTTACTTGGTGTTCATCTGCTGCACAATCATCTCATAATCTGGATATACATCACAGCATGACATGTAAATTTCCTGCTACTCTGCTTTCATTTCCAGAGGCAGCAATCAAATGAAAACCATTCAACCTCACCAAAATGTATAAATAATTTTCATTCAAACATATTAACAGTCAAAATATGAGAATTTATCACAGAGCACTACGCCTTTTAAGAAGCAATAAAGACTTTACTTTTTAAGCATATTTCTACTTAGAAAAGTAATATGAACAGTAGCTTGCAATTTTAAAACAGGATTTAAAAGTCCACCCATAACACCTCATCTTCAAACTTAAGTGTGTTGATGCTGCTTTGCTGCCTTGTAAAAAAACACCTAGGAAAGCTTTGGGAATAAAAGGAGCACAACATTCTATGGAAATGACCGCTTTCTCCTCGGGTGTTTCACATAAAATAAATAGAAGCATTCAAACGCACAGAACTGAAAATGAAACACCATGTCACAGCATTGGACGATGCAACAATTAAGATGGCCTTTATTTTAATTCTTCATGTTATTTTAGACTTCAGATTAGGTTTCAGTTCAGGTCCAGCGCGGATCCGGAGCTGATGCTCAGAGGTGGGGGGACCTCTCACTGCCAGGCACTGCTGGTTTTGCCATGGAGCACATCAGGATCCAGCCCTCGAGGGTATTCAGTATGAAGCACAGGTAGAGCCACCCCGCACTTCTTTCGTGAAGAACCATTTTTCTCTGTAGCAGCTGCAGGTTGGCCCTGCTTCCATTTTGCTTCCACATCCATTTTGCCCAAACCCATTTGCTGCAGGGAGCTGCTGAGAGCCAGGATCCAGCCACTTGTTGGGGCAAGAGAGGAACCAACCTCTTCAAGAAGGCAGGGACAAAGAACGTTCTGCTGTTCTTATCAGCAGTGGTGCTGGAAAAAAATTGCTGCCTCTCTATGAATTGGGTGGGCTTTTTGAGAAACAGGTAAAAACTGCTCAGATGACAGTCTTTCCCATTTTTCCAGTGAGTGTGTCTGAGGAAGTAGAAGTGCAATAACCTGGGGTACAGCAGGCTCAGCCATTTGAAATAAAACTTTGCAGTACTAATGTTTTTGTAACTGCTTTCATATTGTAATGATATTTTTCCAAGCACTGGTTTTATTTGATCTTAAATACCTTTTTGGGAAAGTCCAGTGAGCTGACTCTAATAAAATCATGCTATTGAAAAAAGGTTTAAGTGGAATGTTCAGAATAAATTACAAAACTGCATGCAAGAATACCAGCTAGTGCTGCAATAAAAATCTGGAAATGAGGATTCTTGCAATATATTTTAAAGAAGTAGTATACTTCTTTTTGTTCATTTTTTTTTTCCACAGAATATTTCATAATAGAAAGCCTTTGCAACTTGAAAGAGGATGAATGAATAACGAATGAACAAACTGCCAAAGAGATTGCATTTAAAAAAAACTTGATTTTTTTTTCCCCTACATAATATATTTCATATCATTTTCAATAACTTTTGGAAGATAATAGGAAAAGTAATTTGGTTCCATTTTGCTGTGCCAAAATAAGTAAATTATATCATACTTAGACTGTCAGGTTTCTCGCCCATATACACACACACGTGTCCAGATCCTTTGTGTCAGGAGCTAGTAGCAAAAATATGACACAGTCAGGTCTTCCTGCTCTGGAAAATCCTGAACTGTCCATATTAAGGAGTTTCAGGAGTGTAACTGAGGCATCTCAGAGATCTGCTCCCCTGTAGATCTATAGGAGATCACGTTCAGAGGGGTTTTCTTGCAGGCTTTGCAGGAGTTATTGGCATTTTCTAGCATTAGGGCTTAAAAGAATACGACAAAGGCAGTCACTGCCCTCAGCTGTCTCTCAGTTACTGGAGTTTACTGTGCTAAAATGAAGATGGAAAAAAAAAATGGGAAAGAATTTGTGTTTTTCTTCCTTCCAGTTTCTAACTCTCATTGTGAATGGGCCATCCAGAGACACATCCCTAGCAAATGCTGGCAATAGCAGGGTTTGTCAAACCACATACAAACCCACAAAATCAGAGCTTATATATTGAAATGTAAATTAGCCACACCATGATTTAGGCAACAAACCTGAAACCCCTAAAGGTTTCAGGCCAAGTGCTGCTTCTAGTTCTAAAAACCTGTTTAATCTGGATTTATATAGGTGTCACAGAGATCCCAACTGGCACTTCTGATCTACCAGACAAGGGAAATTAGCCCTCTTATCGAGATAAACGGCCCTGATGTGGTCAGCATCAGACAGAGATGTAGCTGCTGAGAAATGTAGGCAGCAGACAGGGAGATGCAGCCAAAGGAGCACAGAGCCCTTGGGCTGCTGGCGCTGAAAGGCAGGAGGGAAAAGCAGCACGTGGTGTCATGAAGGCCCCCTTCCCTTGAACCGGGGCATGCATCACCAACGAGGCTGAAGGAAAAAGACAATGATGAGTATTTTCAGGAGCTATTGAGGCCCCATGGGAGTAAAAGCAATTCCGTGTCCAAGGTGAATCCTTCAAGAGTTGGGTGGCACCCAGAATTTTGATCCAAGCTTCTTTTCCTCCGTCGCCTCATGTTGGAGCCCAGGATACCTAAAGCCTGAAAGGTTCCTTGAAATGTTACCAGACTGACTTCTGCATGGAGCTGGAGGCTCTAACCCACCTGAGACACTGAGCACTCTCATCCCACCATGTTGGTCAGAGGCCCCAAGGCAGTGCTGTGCGTTCAGAGACAGAGTAAAGCATTGAAAATTTCTATGCTGTAATTTGAACAGCATGGTACATTTATAACTTCGAGGTATTCATCTATTGGCTTTGTCTACCCAAATTCTGAATAGAAACAATGGCCAGGCTCCACAACTCCAGACGTTAAAAGCAGGACTATTCAAGAGCAGACAGAATGGTTTGGAAGGAAGCGGGTCTAAGAGACTACGAATTATCAAATCTTCCTTGATGTTTCCACTGTTACCTTTCCTAAAACCCCAGGTGATGTCTGAAGCTCCTCACCTCATTGTAAAGCACTTCAAATTTCTACCAGGAGTCCCAGCCAACGCTCAGTTGTTTGGAGGGAGATGGGAGGGAATGGATATCAGAAATATTGCACTTTGAAGCTCTGATGGAAAAGTTCCACAAGGAAAACCACTGAGTGCCAAGAGAAGAAGCAATTTTCTTTATGGAGCAGCCTTGCAATGTCCAATTCTAACTCACACTTTTTATGGGGAATAAATACATACTCCACAAATTTTAATGACCGCTCATATTTTTATTTCAGTAGCTTAAATATTTTTCTTTCAACTCTAGGAGGTGAAAGAGGAAGCACATTTCATACCCACATCCCCCAAATTTTCTGCTGTCAAATTTGGGCACTCCAAGATTTTGCTGCACTACAAACTGGAAGCACCAAAAACTGCACAGCTACACTTGAAGAACAGCACTGTTTTTCACCTGCTGCCCAGTTAAACCAGCAATTAGACCCAGGTGAAAAGGTTCTTACATTCATGTAGAGCAGTGTTAACTTTAATGAGATTCCTCAGCTGTGTCAGCTTTCACCACATCATTTCAACTGCAGGATGAGGCTTCCCATGCAAAATGTCTTCAGTAGATGTGATCCAAATGGTGTTCTGTTTGGCCAAAGCAGAGCTGTGGTGGTAAGAACCTTTTCTTTTTTTCCTTATTTGTTCTTAAGACATCAATACTCTGACAGAAACCAAGGGAAGCAGCCAGGTATGTTTTTTGGGTCTGACTTCCAGCAGTGGTAGCCTGTTTTTCCTTGAATAAAACTGTGAATTGCCCTTGAAAGATCAGGGATATCTTTCTGATATCTTGCAAGGGCAATTCTGCAGTTTTAAGGCCCAGAATCTGGACTTGTTGGCTGCTGTGATATAATAAGCAAAACAGGATCCCAACACTGGAACAGTGCGTGCAGGCAGCAGTATTTTTTATAATACCATTAGCAATACTTGACTTACCATAAATGCTCAGGTATGAAGTTCATACAGAATGCCCTGCTGATGTTAATCATACATTATACTATAACTGTCAGATATGAAATACACTCACAAGCC